TATATGCCCCATAGTGGTATAACTGGATCTTGTTGTAGACCTATTATCAGCCATTTGAGGAACCTCCACACTGATTTTTCATAATGGCTATACTATTGTGCACTACCACCAAGAATCTTATGTGTTCCCCTTTCCCAGAATACTTGCTAGAATGTCTTGTCACTTGTTTTATTATCTTGGGTATTCTGACTTGATAAGATCAAACATTTTAGCCTTGGAAGTCTGACAAACACAAAGTAAAATTTCTATAGCTTTAATTTGTGTTACCCTGGTTATAGCATAGGTGTTTTTTTCCTATATGTTATTATCCCATTTCTCTGACCCACTTGTAAAAATATGTATTCCTGTTGTTTCCTTTGTATTATTTCTGTTTCTATTAGAATTTACAAATACTTTTACTATAGCTTGGTGCTGATTTTTGTAAGATACATATTTTAAAAATATCTCTTCTAATCCTTTGCTTAACTTTTTACATAAGTTCTGGTGTTTCAATGAAGAAGACAGTTTAATTTTAACAAACTCACATGTATGTGTTTTTTTTTTGCCATGATAATACCTTCATTTTGTGCCTTGTTTAAAAATAATACAAATATTCCTTTATGTCTCATTAGGTCCATGTTTTTCTTAAGATTATATGCCAAATGAAATAAGTTTTTATGTAGTGATAAAGGTATGGGTTAAATTCTGGTTTTTTAGTATAGATAAAAAATTTCTCTAAGATGTCCAGCATCAGCTTTTATTACAGGTTTAATATGTATAGATTTTACTTAAAGTTTTAAATTTTTCTTTCATTATTCTAATTGCCTTTACCTACATCAAACTTAACCACTCTTTTTTGTCTTTGTGTGTATGTGTGTGTGTATGTTTTATTTTCATGGATTTCTTTTTTATCTATTTTTATTGGATATTTTATTTACATTTCAGATGTAATCCCCTTTCCTCCCCGCCCAGGAACCCCCTATCCCATTCTCCCTCCTGCTTCTATGAGGATATGCCCCCACCCACCCTCCCACTCTCACCTTCCCACCCAGATTTCTCCAACATTGGTGTATGCAGCCTTCACTGGACCAAGGATCTCCTCACCCACCTATGTCTGACACTGCTATCCTCCCCTACATATACAGCTGGAGCTATGGGCCCCTGTCAGGAGCCATAATGGGACAAGCTAATAATTAACAGGTCCCTGAAATGCTTGCCTTAGATTATTATATAATCTGTGACAAGTGAGTCCTCATTCAGCAAGGCTGTAAGGAACTTATTTTAGGAAAGATTCCTGCTATTAATATGTTTCCTTTTATTATTATTTAAACATATGTAACAATCACTAAGTAATAGCACACCCCTTTGGAGCAGATCTCTGTAGATCCACGGAGATGTACTGTCTTGTAGTGATGCTATATAAACAAATAGATGACTTCTTAAGTCTTAATGATGATCCTATAAGAATTCCTAAAGTTATATCAATGATTATTAAGCTCTTTTATAACAGAACTGCTATAAGGTCCCTCTCTGATAGTCAAAACTGCAATGAGAACTTTGCCAGTCTCCCAAGTGTCATCAGTTAATTGCCCTTAGATAGTAACCAGACTCTCTCCTGCTCGGAGCACATTCCAAGAGGTTGTAAAACAATTAACCAAAGGTCACTAAAAGGGAACTCGGGATTTATTATAGGTGCTAGAACAGAAGTTAAAATATTGCCTTGGTTTATCTATACAAAGCTTCACTAATTTCTTAGTTATGGTTTTAAACCTTCAGTGAACCTGTGGAGCTAGACAGGTGATGGACATTTAGCCAGATAATTACACCTAATGGATGTGCATATAAACATTCTCTGTTGTAAACTTCTACTTCAATTTATGACTTGATTTTTGGTGTGAAATTGTGATGAACTTTGAAACATGTGACGATGTACTCTGAAAGATGCTTAAGTACTGAAGACAAAGACAAAGAGAGGAGTAGTCATACTAGTCATAGTAGAGTAGTGGTAGATATGGAGGTTCATTAGGAGCCGTTCCTCCTTTTCTTCCCTTTTCCCCTGCCTAGAATATTTTCCCTTAGAATTTTTCCTTTGTTAGAATTTTTTCCTTTCCCCCCACTTAGGATCTTTCTACTTTTCCCCTTAGGTAACTTTCATAGGAAACGTTTTACACTTAGTAATAAACTATAAAATAACTTCTCTAAGTGTTTTTTCTTCCTATGACCTCAGATTAGCAGGTGTAAGTCAGAGCCCAGCAGTTCCTACTTAGAGAGTACAAAGGCTATTTACCTAATCCTCTTCTGATTCTGGACTGAGGTACTAAGTGCAAGAAACTGCCATTTCTGGCCAGAAGATACCAGAGGGCAGGCCAGCTACAGTAACATAGTAAATAAACTTTTCTAGCATAGATAAGTAAACTTTTGTTATACAGCAACCCTATATATCTCGTAAGATCAGTCTTACCCTGAATCTCGTAAAGCCCAAGGCTTTACCCCAAATTTCATAAGACCAAGTCTAACCCCTCACAGAAGCTCTTCCATCCCATCACCCTCGGCTGCCTCAAGAAGAACCGAGGAGAAGAAAGCAAGCTTCTCCTTCGACCAAGCTGGGGCTGGTCCCTGCCAGGTCCCTCCCTATTTACTCCCAGGCTGGTAGTTTAGGCCCTGGGAGCTTTAGTTGGTTGGTATTGTTGCTCTCCTCATGGGGTAGCAAACCCTTTTAGCTCCTTCACTCTTCTCTCTAACTCCTCCATTGGGAATTCCATGATCAGCTCAATGGTTAGCTGTGAGCTTCCACCTCAGGCTCTGGCAGACCTCTAAGGAGACAGCTATATCTGGCTCCTGTCAGCATGCGCTTCCTGGTATCCACATCAGTGTCTACCTTTGGTGAATGCAGAAGGGATGGATACTTAGGTGGATCAGTCTCTGGATGGCCCTACCTGCAGTTTCTGTCCCACACTTTGTTTCCATATTTGCTCCCATGAATATTTTGTTACCCCTTCTAAGAAGGCCCAATGCACCCACACTTTAATCTTTCTTGTTCATGAACTTCATGTGGTCTGTGAGTTGAATCTTGGATATTGAGAACTTTTAGACTAATATCCAATTATCAGTGAGTACATATCATGTGTAATCTTTTGTGATTGGGTTACCTCACTTAGGATATTTTCTAGTTCCTTCCATTTACCTAAGAATTTCTCGAATTCATTGTTTTTAATAGCTGACTAATACTCCATTGTGTAAATTTACCACATTTGATGTATCCATTCTTCTACTGAAGGACATCTGGGTTCTTTCCAGCTTCTGGCTATTATAAATAAGGCTGCTATGAACACAGTGGAGCATGTGTCCTAAAACTTTTATTGGTTCTTTGTGAATTTCATTTCATGTGGCTCAATCTCAATTATCTCTCCCTCCCCTCTTACCTACTCCCCACCCTTGCAACACCCTCAACAGAGAAAAAAATCTCATTTTGGAAGCTGAATTATGTCACAGTGTATTCCACAGTACACACTTTTGTTTACACTTCTTTGTTTGCACATGTTCATTGCCTTGTCTCCTTGATCTGGTATGAATTTTCTCTGGCTTCTGCTTTTCTGAATCCTCACTGGGACTCCCCAAGGATATCCTCTGTGTCATAGAGTTCCTCTAGTTTTGTGTCTGTAGGACAGACTCCTTCATGCATTCCAGCAGTTCATCCTTAGGGTAGACCTTGGGGGACACCAATTCAAAGCCCTGAATCTAGGCTCAAGAAGCATTTGAGCTGGTCAGCCCCAAACTTCCTGCTCTCATGCCCTTTAGGCTAGCTCACTAACAACCCCTAAAACCAGGACCAATTCTACCCTGTTTTATAGGTAATGTGCAGGGCCTAACATCCCAAGTTCTGGAGCTTGTGCAGGATATTACCAGTTCTCCCACTCACATGACCCCAGGGCCAGCTCTCCTACCTGCTATAGATGGCAAGGGGAAATGGAGGGGAGTAGGGAATCTCTCTCTGGTCCATGCCATCACCCAAATGAGGCAGGGATGGTTCTTCTACATCCATACTCTCTGGGCTGGCTTACCTGTCCTCCCCCTTCCTCCCTGCATTCCTCCCTGGCAGGAACAACTCTACTACATGGCCCAGGTGAGATTCAGAACCTGCTCTCCCAAGTGCTGCAGCTCATGAGGGTCAGGGCCATTTATCCTGCTCTTATAACTCGAGGGCCATATCTCCCACTGGCCACAAGTGATGAGGAGTGAGGGAGGAAGATGATATCTCTTCATTATACATGCCACTGCATAGGAAATGAGTAGTAGGGCCAGCTCTCCCACATTTGTATCCTTGGTGGCTTATCAGAAAGTCCTACAATATTGGGGAGGGGGCACTCTCCTGCGTTCTGGAGCTGACTAGGGTCAGGAGCAGGTCTCCTGCCCTCATTGTTCCAGAGCAAGATCTCCAATGATGTCTAGGACCCCACCATGGTCCCAGATGGCATCACCAGCTACTCATATCAGGCTGTTCCCCACTGCTCTCAGTCTCCAGTTCTGCCTCTCCTCATTGTGCCCACATGCTTCTCTTTCTCTTTCTCTTCCATTGCCTACCACTTACTTGCTCCTCTTAGTGTCACCTAGGGTCTCTGAGTGTCTAGGGTCATCTGAGGAGTGCTCTCAAGAGTACTATGTCCCACTCATGCATTATGGCACCAGGCAGAGATCATCTCACGTACGGTCTACCTCCCAAGGCATGTACAGTGCCAAACTGGTGGTTATGTCAGGCTAACTCACTGTTCAGGCACCATGCTACTGGGCTGCTGGGGGGTTAAGCTTATTTCTTACCTGGCCCAGCCAAGTGACCCCTTGAAAGGGCAGTCTGTTGAGGGCATATTCCTGCCTAATCCCCAAGTTTCAGGTGTGATTCTTCTAGTCTCTAGCTTGCTCCCCATCCTGGGACTGGTGGTCTTCTTAGAATAGCTCCCTGTCTGGGTCCCCTGGCACACATTGGTGGTCATCTCTGCTTACTCTTTTCTGCCACTAAGTTACTAATGATTAGACTACTAATTATTCAGATGTTCATAGGTTAGAAAACTGAGCATAGACACAGTATGTCTCCTCTCTGCCATCTACTAACACATACATGAAACAGTAGCCATACCTGCAAAGCCTCTAGGTGTAGGTTAACCACTCTTTTTTAAAGTGTGTGTGTGTGTGTGTGTGTGTGTCTGGAATGTATGGGTGTGTTAGTGTTGTGTTGTGTATATGAAGGCCAGAGGAGAACACTGGCTGTCCTGACATATTGCTTTCTTCCTTACTGTCTTGAGATAGGATATCTCCCTGAACCTGAAGCTTGGCTGAGAGTTAAGTCCAAGTTATCCTTCTGCCTCTGACCTCCATAGCTCTAGGGTTGCAGGTATGCCTACCATGATTAGCTTCTTACATTATCATCTGAATAGCCTCAGTATCCAATGGCATGTTTGTTTCTGGAATGATGGGTTGTCACCGGCTCTCCTTTCAACATGTTCATTTCAAGCCCGGGAATCAGTCATTTCTTCACAGACTCCAATGTATTCTCCTAATAGCAAATAGTATTTAATGGTGGTATTTGGTACAGGGCATAGCATCTTGTTCTGGAGAGTTTTATTCACTGTATTAAGTTCAAGCATGGGTCAACATTTCAAAACAAAGATATTGTCTTGGGTTATTGCTGATATTTTCAATTAAAATTCAAATAGAGAAGGAGTTTTAGTTAATTTAATTTTATGTAGCTTATAACCAACTCTACTTTTTCTTCTCTGAGATTCCCAGCTTCCCAAACACAATGATAATCATTCTCTCACCCCGCTCCACACTGCACAGAACATTTCAATCGCAGAAAAAAAAATGTATCATTTCCCAGAAAGGACAGTGTAAAAGAGCATTTGTTCACACGACCAGGATGATGCATATTCTGTTAAAAGCAAACAGCTTTCAGGAAGGGTTATGGCTTGATAGACTGGGGGTCACTTTGAAAAGAGCCAACAATTGAGTTACCAGAAGGCAAGTGATAGTTTTCAAAATGAGGATGACTTTGAATGATAAGCTTCACACTGGAGCTCCAGACTGATGTGAAAATCCCAACCAGAAATGAAATTCTTTTCTGTTAGTAAAAGATCTTTCACTATTTTAATAAAAATGTCATTTTCTACTTTGTTCTTATAGGCAGAACATAGGTCTGAGATAAGAGGACTGGGAATACTAGGAAGATAGCTCAGCAGCTAAAACATTGTGCCGTGAAAGGAGGAGGGCCTGATTTCAAATCCTCAGCACCCAATGTAAAAGATGGGGATGGCTATATATTTTAGTAAATCCACTGGGCATACACATGGGCAGATCTTTAGAACTTGCTAGGTGCCCAAGCCTGTAAAACCTGTGAGCCTCAGGCTCAGTAAGAGACCCTGTCTCACAAAGTAAGAGACCCTGTCTCACAAAGTAAGTTGGGATAATGTAGACATGATTCATGTGGAAATAGCTCTAATGTTTTAAAACATAAAATTTTTAGGAAAATGGGTGAGCTTTCAGTGTATAATATTAACCAAGGTCATGAAATCTCGAAGAAAAAAGGAAAAGAAAAATCATATCTTCTCATTCATATGTGGATCCTGGACTGTAATGTGTCTACATATGTATGTGAACAACTGTATGTGTGGGTGCAGTATAACATTTAGAAGAAAATGATCATGGGAAGGTAATGCTAAGTGACAAGGAAGAATAAAATACAGACAAAAGGGCACAGGGTTTTGGGAGATGATGTAATCCTAATTGTTTTCCTGGCTTCAATCCTGCCATAAATTTATTTTTTTCCTTCTTGTGGTAGAAAAATAAATAAAAATGTAATTTATAATGAGCAAAGCTCCATTGCTTCAGAAAGGCCATTTTCAATAGATTACTCAGATTACAGAGTTTGAAAATGGGCAAGTATTTGTTTGAGTGGTTTTAGTAATCTAGCAGAGTGATGTTTTTACTTGTGAGTTCATTGCAATTAAGTGATGAAAGGAAGAATAGTCATTAGATCTTGGCTATGTAAATTGATCAATACTACAAAAGCATTTGTTTTATGTACATTAGCAAATGATCAGTGGTGACGCACGCCTTTAATCCCAGCATTTGAGAAGCAGAGACAGGCAGATTTCTGAGTTTGAGGCCAGCCTGGTCTACAGAGTGAGTTCCAGGACAGCCAGGGCTACACAGAGAAACCCTGTCCCGAAACAACAACAAAACCAAGAAAATGACTGAGGAAAAACACTTGACACTTGTCCTCTTCTTTACTTGCAGGCATAAACTCACACACATACACACACACACATGCACACATACATAAAACACAGAACACAGACACCTACATACACATGCATACAACTCCTACATAACACCTACATCCATATAACACACATGCATATAACACATACATAGCAAACTCTCTCTCTTTTTCTTCTAAAATACTGTCAGGATTGCTCCTTCTAACTCAGTTTTATACCAGTTTAATGAAAATAACAGCTAAAATGTGGTTCAACTATCTTCTGACATTTGAAGAAGCACTGGAGTACTAATGAGCTACTGTCTTAATTATTTTTCTGCCCACAGAGGACAAGGTGTGGACCATAGTGTCTCATGACTTACAGATGCAGACGACAGTGGTAGGCTACAACCCAGAAAAGTACTCTGTGACACAGCTCATCTATAGTGCCTCCATGGACCAGATCAGTGCCATCACCAGCAGCGCTGAGTACTGTGAACAGTATGTCTCCTACTTCTGCAGGATGTCCAGGCTGTTGAACACCCCAGGTAGGCTGTGATGGAACATTACTTTTAATTACGATCTCAGCTGGTGTTTGCAGTTGCCGAAACAATCCAACAGGTGTGGCTTATTATCTTATTGTCCAGTCTTCAGTCCTCAATATGCAGATGGCTGTAAATAAGTCCAATGTAATCATTGGGCTTGTTTTCTGGACAGTGAAGCTTCCAATGCATGATTATTTTAAAATGAGGAATGCTATTATTTTGGGTTTATAGATTTCTCAGTTTTATGCATATATCCATGGTGTGTTGTTAATGCTCGTTTATCAAGCAGTTGCCTTGGGCAAAAGTTTGTCAGAACTCCTTGTGAGCTTTCAAGTGATTCTCTTTGAGTTCCTCCAGTGTCTTTAATGTAAAGATGAAAGCCTTCTGAAGGCTGTCTGCCAGGAAATGTGGTTTAGAGCAGTGAGAGATTTTAGGGCTCTCTGCTGTCATTTAACAGTATCTGTCTGAAGAAGCCCACTCTGAAGTTGCTTTCATGACAGTCTATTTCAGTGGTGGATAGTGTATGTGTGTATGAAGGTGTGCATGTGTATGAATGCACAAGATGCTTTGGGGGCTTAGAGAATAAAGAAGCCCCCAAATTTATACTGAGAATACCTTCTCTGAAAAAAAAAACCTTAATGTGTTGAGGGTGGGACATGCCATTAAACTTACCTTAAATTTGCATCAAAATGTGCAAGGATATACATTATTTGATCCATAACATAGCAGCAAAAATAAGCATGAGCCTTGAGTGGAAGGAATAAAACTTTTTGATTTGCAGCCTTGAGGTTTTCCAGATGTGTCTTTGGGATATTCATTGAATTTGAACTCCTTTGTGAATATTTGCTTATTTAATTCAGTAAGTAAAACTGCATAACATATATTTATCATGTGCAACATATTTTGAAATATGACTGCGGAATAGCTAAATTAAGCTAATTTGCATATGCATACCTTACCTTCTTGGGGCAAGAACAGTATCCAAAGATGTAATGTAATTAACCATGTTGTACTATGTGTATCTTTTTATCCAGCCTCAGTTTCCCATCTTTATTTTACTATCAAAATTAGGAAAAGACTGTCTGCTTTGGTGAAATGCTATATTAGAAATCTATGAAGTCTATGGTATTTAAAGAAATTAATGATATTTTAAATTAATAATCAATATTATAACATTGCATTGTGCCAAAGACTAGTAGGCTATGGGATGCCCTAAATCAATAGTGAATTATATCCAGCATTACTTGGGGAATGCCTTACAGAGAAGAGGTAGACACAAAATAATAGATGATTGAGATGTTTGGGTGTTTCTCTTGTGCAAGCTTCATGGTATTAGACTGTTCGTAATGTTCTTCATGGACTCTAGGGGTCATAAAACCTGAAAATATAAAAGTAATATGTTTAGAAGATTAGGGCTGGTGTTGTTTGGAGGAAAGATATTTAGGGTTGGCGTGTTGAATTAGTGTGTCATTGAAAAAGAAGAAAGAAATTTCCAGATTGGTGTTGGGAAATGAATAGCAGTCGGTGTGATATAAATGGCCCTTCTGGCACTGGTCAGAAGCCCTGGGATGGGAAGTAAATATGGACATGGGTCTGGATGCAAGTAAAAGCTACGCTGTAGACTGAGTCCCTAGCACGTCCTTCTAAGACCAGGCGTGCTTGAAAAGAGCACACAGGAGTTCAGAAAGTAGAACTGCTGGACCCTACTGCTTGTGATTTTATTGTAATAGGTCGATAAACACTGAAACAGATGGCTATAAGCTATTGTAAACAGGCAGTTTTTGTGACAATTTACCAGTCTGAGTAGTCATAGACCTTGTAAATAGGTAGCCTTGGCAGATATTACCAACTTAGATAAGGACAAGTGAATCAGAGGCAGAGTCATAGTGACCTATCCCCTGAACCCTCACCCAGCCGATACCCTGTTCTGAAAAATATCTGTATTCCCCCTGAACACCCACGCTCCAGTGTCATCCTCTTCCCCTTGTCCTGCCTTTTTGTGTTTATAATCCCTGTGTGAATGAGTATAAATTACAATTTGAAAAAAAATATATATATACATATACATATAGTATGCATTTGTTGTGAGTCCCACGAAATGAGCAGTGTTTGTCCATGATACACGTATTTTAACTCTGGTTCCTAAAGTGGCTGTATTTGGAGTTAGAGATTTTAGGAAGTAAGGATGCTAAATGTAGTCAAGATGGAGATGTCCTGATTCCATCAGGACTGTCAGCCTCAAAGAAGAATAAAGAAATAACACTCTGTCATGTATGAACTCAGTGAGGAGGACTCCAACATCTCAATGTACATCTACCAGGTCCTTGAAGCAAGGCTTCCTACTTCTGAACCACAAGGTCCACATTCCCACTGCTCAGCTGCATGCCTGCTTTGGGCATTTTTCTTGGCAGTTCTGGCAAATATATGGTAAGATCTCAACTCTGAACAGGCTGGAGAACAACTCTGAGAATTTGAGAGTGCCACACAGCCCAACAGGTGTTTCTGATACTCTTTACTGCTCACTGCAATTTTGATCCTGCTTCCATTGCTAGCAAGCATTAACCAAAGATTACAGAAAAATTTGGGGCAGGAGTCACTAATGTATCTCATCAGCTTGTTTCAGTTTCATGAGTGAATGTTCTTCACAGAGGCTCTGTTTCAAGATTTAAGTTAATTAGTTCCTCAGTCTTAGCATGGAGAGGAGTGGGACAAATTGCTCACCAGAAAAAAAATCTTGGTGCTTTCATTGGTACAGTAAATTTTCATTATCAAATTTTTTTCTAGTAGTTAAAATATAGTAATAGTTTTTAAAAGCACATTAGAGTTGCCAAATAAGTGTATTAATAACTTACAGTTTAGGTGTGGGGAGAACGAATTTAAGGCTTAAGGCAACTGACCTTTAATTCTCTTGGTCTTATGAGTAGACTTCCCTCTTTTCTTCACTGATACTGTGTTTTCCTATCAGACACAAGGAATCTCACACACCCATTACTCTCTTTCATATAACATGATATACAACACTCTAGGAAAAATAAGAGAAATGTCATCATTTTAATTGTCAAGTTAACATAATCTAGAATCACTTCAGGGAATATAAAAAAAAAAGGCTATCTAGATCAGATTGGTCTGTGGGAGATGATATTTATCATTATTCCCTTATTTAAGGAATAAGATCACCACTGTGTGTTCTGATGAACAGCTCCATGGAGAACATGCCCCAAATCATGGTCCTTGGGCCAACCCCACCACCTTCATGGTTCTCTGCTATGCCCCAGACAATATACACCATGCTGATTCCCTGACTGGGAATCAAACCCAGGCTGAGGCAATGAAAGCACCTCTCAACCCTGGTTCTGCCTACCTCTTCTATTGCCCAATCACCCAGCTCCACTGCAAATTCCTGCAAGAGAGTACAGAGCTAAACAAAGAATTCTCAACTGAGGAAACTTGAATAGCTGAGAAGCACCTAAATAAATATTCAGCATTCTTATTCGTCATGGAAATGCAAATCAAAACAACCCTGAGATTCTACTTTATGCTAATCAGAATGGCTAGGATCTAAACTCAGGTGATAGGAGATGCTGGCAAGGGTATGGAGAAAGAGGAACACTCCTCCATTGTTGGTGGGATTGCAAGCTGATACAACCACTCTGAAAATCAGTCTTGTGGTTCCTCAGAAAGTTGGATATGGTATTATCTTACTACCAAGCTATACCACTCCTAGGCATATACCCAGAAGATGCTCCAACATATAACAAGGACACATGCTCCACAATGTTCATAGCAGCCTTATTTATAATAGCCAGAAGCTAGAAAGAACCCAGATGTCCTTCAGCAAAGGAATAGATACAGAAAATGTGGTACACAATGGAGTATTACTCAGCTATTAAAAACAATGAATTCATAAAATTCTTAGGCAAATAAATGGAACTAGAAAATATCATCCTGAGTGAGGTAACACAAATAAGATTTGATGGGATTTGTTTGGATCCAGGAATGACTGCCTTCAGCAAACATTCATGAGTGGTTTTATTAGCCATTGTTGGGAAACACTTTTTATGTAACAAGTGCATTTCCTGTTTAAATCTAAGTAGTTAGTTCTTTATGTGGAGGAAGACTAAAAGGAAGGGGGATTCTCTGACCACCTAAAATAAATGGCATATATAATTCACTACTCTTTCAGCTAAATCACGCTAGTATGATAGTATTTTTAATCCAACTAGAACAATTTCTACGTTCTGTAAAATGGATTTCCGCCTGCACCTCAGGGTCCTTTTCCACATTCCCTATTTCTCCTAACCAGGTGAGCTACTGTGTAGAAGAGCAGACACAGGGAAGAGAGGCTAACATAGCAGTGTGCCCTGTGTACTGCATTCTGTATCAATCAAAATATGAAAGGGGAGAATTTAATAAAAATCTTTAATTTATTATTTTAAGGAATTAATGCTTGCTGCAATTGTGTTCTTTTCCTCTTTCATGGTAACGTCTGATTTTAAATATCCATTTATTCATTCTGTAACTAAGACTGAATTATGCTGGAATTTTCTCAGAAGCATTTGTGGCACATGTTTGAATGTAAAGTATATTCATTACAGTCACTGCAATTAAAATGAATATCAAATGAGGCTGTAATAGCTATGCACTTAAATGTTATTTTTGTTTTAAGAGGCGTACTCTCCAGATGTCATTTAAGGCTCTGTAACTTCTAAGACACATAGAACCAAGAATTAAAAGGCACATGGACCTTGTGTATGTCTATTGATAAGTATTTGCTTGTGCAGTACCATTAGCTAGCAACTGTAGACTTATTCATTCAGTATTGGTTTCTTACAACTTTTATAAAGAAGGTAATGTGTGACTTATAGCATTATCTCCATCATTATTATAAAGTTTGAATCACTTTAAAATAATGATTCGGGTGCTAAAGAGATAGCTCAGTTAGTAAAAGCTTGGCATATGAGAATCAGGACCTGTGTTTAATCCCCAGATTCTACCAAAAAAAA